ACAACTATATCCCAGAAGCGCTCAGGCATTACACTGAATGCCAGGACTTCAGCCTGGGTGAACCAGAAAGGATAGACAACACTTCCCTATATTGACCATGAATGAAAAGCTAGGTATGTTATATATCCCAGAATTGCTCAGGCATTACTCTGAATGAAGGACTTCAGCCTGGGTGAACCAGAAAGGAAAGACATAATTTCCCTCTATTAACAGTGAATGAAAAACTAAGTTTGCTATATCCCAGAAGCTCTCAGGCATTACGCCGAATGCCATATAAATCTTAGAAATATGACAAATAAATATATATCTCAGAAGTGACCAGGCAACACTAAACAAAATAATATTGTTACAGGATAAGACTTCAAGAAAATAGATTTTTTTAAATGATACAATGTTGACTATGCCTTACTTCAATGGGTGCACAGAATTTAAAAATTAAAATGTCATACACTGCAGGCAGAGCACATAAATTAACATCACATGGCTCCTCTTCAAGGAGAAAGAGCAAGTCATCTCTTAACCCCTTCCATCTGAAACAGACAGAAAAAAAAACAGTGAATAAAGTTTCCACCTTTATAATCCAAGCTTACCATATTTTTGCTGGTAACTGGGTAAAAGTGAAGAACAGCTCCCCTAAAAGTCTGTCGGCCAACTGTCGGCCAACTGTCGGCCGGCAGTATGCCAACTGTCCATCAAACTAAGTATCCCAAGTGAGATTTAAAGACATGTATTCCAATAGAAAGTGAAATACCATACTGCAAGCTGGAACTTTTTATGCATGTCAATGCAGAAATGCAGAGTTGTACCTACCCCCCAATATTTGCTTTGCTCTTTAGGAAACACTCAGCAAAGGCTTCCCCAAAAGGAACATCAGGAGAGGCACATTCCTACAAATAAATTGCATGTATCACTCAATAATGAATTAACTGAGCTAAAGTCATATAATGTTCACTACTAATGGTAGATATATAATCACTGTTCACCACAGATAAAATATGTTCACTTTTATGGACACCTTTCGTCTGCCTTTCTGTAAAGTCAAGAAAGCCAAGAAAGCTCTCACTAATTGATTATAAATAAATTGCATAACAAATACCAGTAGGCTGAATATGTTTTGTGTTATTGTATAATTCCACTATGATGCATGTCATTTAGCATTGCAGGTATAACCTACCTTAATAACTTTGCAGAATACACAGCACTCTGTGTCCAATCCTTGCTTGCAAAGTTCATTGATATATTTTTTGGCATCACCAACTCTTTGCTTGAGCAGCATTATCAGTGTTTTGTAATCAAGAGTAACTGTCATGAAAAAAGACAAGAAGATAACAAGAAGTTGAAGTTAAAATAGCTACACCAAAGATCTCAAATGTTATACTTTCCCAGATATTTTCTAACACTGCCAAGCATAAAATGGATTCAATAATTACTATCACGTAGCTAGACATGTAACATAAAAACATTGCAAAAATAAAAAATAATAAGATAAAAAAAATATAAAGAGTCAAGATTGGCACACACAAATAACCTGGAAATTTAACTTTAAAGCATCTTCCATTAACTACTATTCCAGTTTTCTCAATGGCATCCCTCTGGCGATTTAAATCTTTTATCGTAGAAAAATAGAAATGAAATAAATTATAATACTGTCAAGACCCTATCAAGGAAACAAACCCGAAATTTCTCCTAAAGTAGCCATAAAAAGTGATCATAGCTAGAAGACTTAGAGGCTCAGCGTAAAATCAAACTCAGCCAATTATGTGATTTTCCTGCCAAGCAGAGATGAGTTCTGATACACCGTGAAACCAGCATTCACAACAAAACATAAGACAGCAAACTCACTTTTTCCAATCTTAATAAAAATATAAACGTTATGACTTACCCCGGTTCGTCTTAGCTTGAAAATGCTAAGTAACGTTTGCCAAGCTTTTCTTGATCCAGGATCAAGAATTTATTTTATCGATCAACCAAAGATATCTCACCACTTCTCCTTCTTCGAATTTCTGCCGGAAGATGGTAGAAACAACTCCAAATAGAGAGGCGATGGCCACTTTGTTGTTCTGAACATATCGGTCATCCAAGCTTCCGCCATTTTTTAAAGCTGGACCGTACAAAACGCTTGGAAAATGTGCCACCAACAGGCTACTTCAAAAAACTTGCTGACTCTTATGCCACATTTCTTGAAATTTAAGATAAACCATTCCCTTGACTCATCTGGAGGAGAATGCAGCAATTCAACCCTTCGAAGTTTGAAAGGAGCATAACTGCACTCGACCGCGGGAAACTAAACATTCCCGCTTTTGCCTACGCATATTAATATGAAATCCAATCTCGAAAGGTCAATAGGCCGATCCAGCCCCTAATAAAAAAAGGCTTTATTGTACCCAGCAGGAACAGAGATTGTACAAATTCAAGCAATTACTCAGATTACAGCGAGCAATTACCGAAAACGGCTGTCGAGGCGATGATGGAAACTTAGCCGGTTTATGACGTCACTCCATAGCAACCAACATTTTGGAATATTTGAACTTCCGTTTACCTGTGGCTCGTGATGAGGTCAACTAAGATTTTATTTCAAAATCAAATAATATTAAACTTTGCTATAGATAGCTATCGAGAAAATGCTTAGTAAAATTTTAAAAAATATAGAATCGAATAAATAATAATGATAATGATTATAATCGTAACAATCAGTCTTAGGTTAATAATATTAATTTGATTAAATATTTCCATAAACTACTCCTAAAAATCACGATAATACATCGTGCTTTGCTTTCTCCGAAAAATCGAAAAGCTCAAAATACGGCTAGATGGCAACTCCCCATCTCCCACGTAAAATAATGAAAATTTATGCAACTCTGACAACTTCGTACGCCCCAACGCGATGAAATCCTGCTTTGAAATTTTGTGTGCTTGCAGATGCTCCTTTTTTTCGTTTTGGCTGTATAAATTAATTGTTATGTTGTTATGTTCAAGTCTTACACAATTACCTGTTGAAATAAGGTACTTTGTGACTTTTTCACAGAGGTAAAATAAAGGTCAACTTAAATGGCAAGGGTCTGCCACATGAACGGGGTCTGCCAGATATAATTACAGATCATAAGATACATCGTCTTAAAGCTTTGTTCTTATTGTCTAACTCATCTGATTTTTCCATTTTGGCCCGCTTTAAGCGGTGCATCCAGCTTGAAAAGAATTCGAGCTATTATGACGAAAATGCAATGCGATCCGTTCAGTGGCTGTCTCGCAAAAGGTCATATGCATTGTCATGTAGATGGTAAAGTATTGTGAGGAATAACATTTATCTTGCTCAGAGATTGATGTCATTGAGTTTTGTACAATATTTGCCATGTCGTATATCCTTACGCTCAAGTATCTACAACAGCAAGTCATCCATTTTATATGTTTTTTTTTTTTTGCGGTTTTGAGGGGGTTTTTAACCTAAAGGAGCAGCTTCTTGTCAATAGACTGTTAGCTATGGGCTTTAATTAATTAAGTAAATAAGTCAAATGAAAGAGTGATATCCTCCTCACCTGAAACGACTGTCATGAAGTAAACTGCACGTATAAGAAAGTATAAGAAAGGTTTTTCATAATTTCAAGCTTGGGATACATGTACACCCAACCTTGAAATGATAGTTTTTCTTCAGGCCAGGCTTCACCAATGCAGAATGTAAATTTTCATTTGCCGCCAGATATCGCCAGCAGTGTATTTTTTTCAGTGCCATCCTTATCTCATGGCGCCTAAACAATATTAGCCAGTGAATTTTAAATTACTTTTCGTCCCCAACGAAGTATAGGTAACGAAGTAATGCATCCGGGTGTTTCGAAGAAAAAACACACCTTTCTGTCGACGTTTTAGAGTTCCGAAAGGGATCAGTTGCTAACTTTGCAATAATATACCACATGCTAACAAGCTTGCTACCGGGGGAAATCGAAAAGTAGTACGAATTGATCTTTGTCC